GCTGTGACACGATGTGACACCGAGCACGCGTCGCCCCGACGAAGCTGATTTCCCGCTGACGAAATGCCGACCCCGCACCGGCACCTTTTGTACGTAGGGAGGCGGCGAGTGCCCGCACCCCGGGACGGGCCATGGGGGTCTGCGCAAGTATCGGCGACGGCGGCTTCGAGAAAGGATTGAAACACAGCAGGGAGACACCGGCAGCGCCGTGACTCCAACAACAACAGCACAAAGCAGTGGCATGAGACACGGGCCACGAACCGAGGGAGCTGCACCCCGAGCATCCTTGGCCAGAGACGTGTATGTGCCCTGGCTCTTTGCTGCTGCCCACGCTCGGTGAACCCAGAGACATGTGTCATCCTCAGGGGATGGCAGGGTGGCAGCCACACAGAGCTCTCCCTCCTTCCCTCCCTCCCCACACCACCCATGGCACACCACAGCCAGCGCAGGGCCCGGCATCGTCAGCTAAAACAACAAACACGGACGGCATTAGTACAAAGATACCCTTGGGGTAAAGCAGCGCAAATGTAATCTAAGGAGAACGTTATGGGAAAGTGTGTTTATAATTATAATGGGATTTAATGTACTTTGGGACCAGATGATAGCAGTCATTTAACGAGAACAGCCTAATAACGGAGGCCTCACGATGCACGGCGGCGCTGCGCGGGTTATTAGATGTGTACGATAACACCGCGCTCGCCGTGCTATAGTTAAGGGTGAGGCATCAGTTACCCCTGTTTTTTCGGGGGTTATAACTCTGCTGTTGTAATTGGCAGAGAGCGAGGGCGCAGTGCGCAGGCAGCCAGCGTGCCTGCAGGATGGGGTTTTTAATTGCCTCAAACTGCTCGAGTTCCTCCCGCTCCCAGACTTTAAAATCTGAGCAGCTGAGAGGGGGAAATAGTGAGACACTGTGGTTTCAGGTGTTTGTTTACCCTCCTCTAACTTTTAAAAGGCTCGATTTCAGGACTGAAATTTTGCAGGTGGTTAGATGTACATTTTTAGTGTAGCTCACATGAAATTAAGCTGCGTGAGTCCCATTAGCAGTAATGGAAATCCCATGGCTAAATTCCCAGGCAGCATCCTGAAAATTAACCCCCCAGTCCTTCCTGTCAACTGGTGCATTGCACTTATTGTTGCTCCTCTAATACATGTAGTAAAAGCTACTGAATTGTTTAAGAGACCTGCTTCCCACGGCCACCTCTCCCCAAAGGCACCAACTGGCCTGGCGACCCCAAGCAGGAAAACCCCACATGCCCCGGCACTGGGTGCCCAAACCCCTCCTGGCATCCATAGTGTCAGTGCCTTTGGAGACCTCCCTGAAGAAGGGAGGGGTTACACAGGTTTTGCTTCCAGAGGCAAGGCAGGATGATGAGCTGGGTAAACAACTCAGGCCAGAGCATTTTTCCACTTAAGCCCTATTTTCTCCCAAACTCTTTCTGTACCCCACACCCTGAGCACAGATGGAGCTGGGACATGCCTTCCTGGAAGGAGGCAGAGTGACCATAATGCACATTAAGATGTGAAAAAGTCCAAGCCTCTTTTCCATGACCTTGAGCATCACCTCTCTTTCCCCAGCAATCCCCCCACGTGCTGTGTGGGGAAAACACTACAGAAACACCAACTTCTCCCTGTGGAGCCTCAACTGAGGTGCCCATCACCTCATACACATCAGGTGCCTTGGTCTGGAAGGGAGGGACTGATCCAGACACATCCACCAGCCTAAGAGGAGAAGCAGAAGCAGCTGCTTGCCTTAGTGCCCTGAGAAGGGAAGGAAAACCATCCCCAGGTATTGGAGCTGCAGCAGGCTGCCAGCCCTGTGACCTTGGGGCAGGAGCAGCTCTGCAGGGTAGGGGGCAGCTATGGGGCTGCCTAGCACCTGTGGCCCCCTGGTGAGGCCCAGGGAGATGCTTGGGAAACTGCAGCTTTGGCCTTTGGAGTCATTTCCCTGGGCCCTGGCATGGGAGTCAATTCCTTGTTGCTCCCTGCTGGTACCTTCCATTTCCCTCCCATCTCTCCCCATCAGTTTCCAATTTATTTACTTTTCTGTTCTTAATCCCCACCTTGTAGTGTAACGTGTTTATTAGAAAGGCACCAGCAGCTAAATGAAGCCAAGCTGGGCTCTGTGTTAAGTAGCAGTCACGCCCAAGTGCCTCTCCATGTGCCATTACTCCGAGTGATTGAGGCAATTTCTTCCTCTGCCACGAGTTTCACTTGTAAATCTCTCAACCAGATACGGGGCAATGATGTGCTGCCTGGTGCGATTATTATTAACCTCCAGCATTAAACCCCTGAGTCGGTGGTTCCTCGGGAAGGGCTTCCCGTGTGAGGACCAGGTGAAGTGTGGACATCCTTCCCAGGAAACCAAGGGATCCCTTTGGATCCACTTCTAACCCCCAGCCCATCGGTTATTTTGGACGGGGAGACACAAACGTTTGCTTTCCCAGTGGAAATACCCTGGTGAGCAGCACTGGGCCTGTGTGAAGAAAAGCTCCACAGAGCATGGATCAGGCAAAGCAGCAGCCTGTAAGTATTTCAAGGGATGACAGCAAGAGCAGCATCAGGATGCTCCTCCAGGACATGTCTAGGTGCATGGAGAGGAGAGGAAAACAGACCAGTTTCCAAAACTACAATAAGAAAGGAAATTCTTTGTTCAGGATGCTTAGTCCACAAAAAAAGAAGGGAGACAACTTCAGCCAGAAGGTCTCACCTACCCTGTGTGAATTGGAAGGGAGGAGGAGCAGCTCCTCTCCATCACCCCTAAAACAGGTGCTCCTACCCCTCTCCCTGGGCAAATGCCCTTTTCCCTCACCCACATTCCTCCAGTGCCATTAGACTCATCACGCCCCATTCCCTACCCGAGAAAGAGACACAACCACACGGCTCCCACTTCTTCAGCTTGCTGGGCCCTAACTTTGATTGCCCCCCACCCCAGCTCTGCCTCCTGGACCTGTTCTCCCCTCTGCTGCAGAGAACCAGCTGTGCACAGGGTGGGGGACAGGCACATTCTGATGCTGCCATTTGCACATTTTTCCAGGAACAGTTGGTGCATTTGGAGTTTTCCAGCCTTGCTGGTGCAGAGCTGAATTACAAAACACTGGAGCAAGGATGCTGCGCAAAACGAGATCTGTTTGAACTTCAGTCAAAAATCCATGACTTTCAAAAACTGCTTTTTGATCTTTCCACAGACCCTGAGGGAAGTTCACAGCTCCCGAGCCCTAATGTACACACTCTCCCTGGACCAGGATTTCTCCGGGCGCGTTCGCTCTGCTGGGAGCCGGGGCCGAGCGCGCTGCTCTGCTTTGGCGCACGGCAAGCTGACAGCTTATGAAAAGATGATTAAATGTGTTAGACTTTACTTAAAAAAAAAAAAAAGCCTAAATGCACAAAGCTGTTTGCAAGGGGGAGGGTGGAAGCCCCGGCAAGGCTGCTCAGCGAGCAGCCACGGCACGTTAAGCTTCCTCTAAACCCCATTGATTAGCACCAGGTTCTGTCCAAGCGCGCGGACACCAGACCCGCACCATTGTGGTGGCCCCGGGGAGCGGAGGGGCCGGGAACAGGCCCCTCTTTGTGCCCCCGTGCGCTGCACAAAGGGAACCTGAGAGTCACGGCAAGGATGCAGCTGGGTTGGGGGCTGCGGCGTGGGGCGGTGGGACGCTGGTTACCCACATTGCAATTGATCCCAAAGTTGCTGCTGGAGGTCAGCTGTAACCAGCCCCAACGGGGCTGGACAGGAGCCACCCGCTGTCGTGGGAAAGGGGAACATGTACAGCCCGATAGTTCACGCAGAGCTGACTGGACACACGTGGGCTGTCACGCTGCAGAAGCCTTGTCCACCCTTCCCCAGGCGCCTGCCTTTTCCCTCCAACCTCCCGGCCCTGGCTGTGTGCAGGATGCCAGGATGCCACCCGGCCACGCTCCAGCACGCAACAGAGGCACGGCAGCAGCCACGAGAGCCACCATGTCACCACCACGTGAGCGAGCAGCCAGCGTGTCACTGTGCACATCCCTGCAGCTCCAACTGAAGCTGCTGCACACTGGCACCCGTGAGCAACCGGCAGCTCGCCAGCCCCAAAATCCCTCTTTGTCTCCTCTTTTCTTTAAAGCAGGCTCCTTTAAGGGATACAGCATCCGAACAACAAATGAGGGGGCACTAAAACCCTTCCTGCTCTGAAGCACTGCTCTGTTACAACTTTGCTCACTCGTAGGGATGACGGAATCGATGCTGTCCCATGGAAGGAGCAGATCAGCATCACACTGGGATTGTCGAGAGGTGGGCTGTGACGCACAAAACACGAGTGCAAGGAGATACGTGCTGCTCATGGGCTTCCAGGAGCGCGTCCCTCCATCCTCCCCCCCTTGCCAGGTTACAGATGCTCCAGCCCTAAGACAATGAGGCTAATTAGTGGCTTAGAGCCCTGAGCCTGCCAGGGCTGGAGGATGAGCAGAGCGGTGACTCAGGAGGGCGGCAGCCTGGGCCAGCCTTCCCACATTCCTCCCCTAAATCCCCCATACAAAGGGGAATTTAGCCACAGTGACTCAGCGAAGGAGCACAAACTTTACAGCCAGGCTCTGAGTGCTGTGTTTACGTACTTCCCCCCAGAAACACGCTGCCGGGCTCACAATTAAATAAAAATGTCTCCTTCTAGCAGGCTGTGACCCAACCATTAGTACAGGACCTATTTTTAGAGTTACCCTTTGTATGTATTTGAGAGAGCTCGAGCCAGAGGTAGCAACTTTTGAAGCCCTAATAAGCAGGAGAGGGGTTGGCCTTGTTTAATTTACTGTGTAACTATTTTTCCTCTTTCCCCCTTCTCTTAACCTGGCATATTTGACATCCTGCATGGGACAAGGAAAGAGATGTGCTGAGGCTTTAAATGTCAGCCCTGACTGTACGGTGCTGGGGAGGCTGGGCATGTGCTTGGTAAAGTTCATCCCAGGAAAAAAAATCCTTTAAATAGAGCAGAATCTACACCAGGGCCTCAGCAAAGCACTGCCGGGGGCTTGCTCTGCCTCCCAAAACAAGGGCTGCTCTAGTGAGGGATTGTGTCCCGGTTTCATCCTGCTTTCCCCCCACCTCCCTTTGGTTTTGGCTCTCCTCAGGATGGTGCAGTGCTGGGGAAAGAGCTGGTTTCA